CTCCTTCATGGAGCATCTCCTGCTATGTCCAGGCCTTTCTGGGATCCTCTTAGGACCCTGGCTACAGGATCTCTTGCCTGCCTCACACATTCTTATGCTTCTGCTCCATTTTTGGTTTGTTGGAGATATTCATACTATTTTAAAAATCTGGCTACATCTTTATACTTTTCTATTTCAGTACTTGTTTGAATATTTCACTCAATATTTCTCCTAACAGTGGAGCAGATTGGGTGCCTCAAGGCTACTCTTGGAGTGCCATCTTAACTAGAGGGTACCCTTTGGATTGTCAAGAAGCCTCCCCAGCTGAGATCCACAGTCCCCACCATGGATCTGTCTCAGGAAGTGCAGGTCCCTGCCACCCTTTCTGCTGCAACTTTGTTCATTTCCTAGCCTGCCCAGTGTGATCCCCTGACTTTTAGGAATCTGAACCAAACTGAGGGTGGAGATGGGGAAGGGAGATAGATCCATATGTGACGTGTAGCCTGGATTGGATGTTGGAACAGAAAAAAAAAAGTATGCATTTAAAAAGATGATGAAATTCAAATAAATTCTGTAGTTTGGTGAATAGTAAGCTACCAACATTCGTTCCTTAGTTGTGACCGACGTCTCACAGTCATGGAAGATGTTAGCATTAGGTAAAGCTGTCGAAGGTGCGTGGAAACTCAGTGGACTCTCTTCATATCTTTTCTGTGAAGCTAAAATTATTCCAAAATTTAAAAAGAAGAAAGAAAAGCCAATCAGTCAAGGACATAATCAGGAAAACCTTCCAACCTTGGTCAAGGTCTCCAGGGGTCAGGGAGATGACTGCTCTGTTTACAAGGTAAACAATCTCAGGTGGTTTCTGCTCACGACGTGGAATCACTCAGTGGCAAAGTCCTCCCTCTTCCAGTTCTCTTTTGATCATTCTGAGTTCCCCCTGGAGTGAGTCTCGGCTTGATGCCAGCCCATCTTTACCACCATCTTAGACTTGCTGACTTTCCTTTCTAACAAGGGGGAGCAAACCATAGGCTGGGAGCCTGCGATCTGTGACAGTCTTGGTAGAATTTAATCACCGAATTAGTTTTGTTGTGTGCACTTTTACTTTCTACTTGTGGCAAGTTGTGCTAGTTTCTATGTATGACTGCAATATTAATTTTTCTATTTTAACAAATTTTCTTTTCCTAACATGAATTGATTTAAGGATAAGTCTTGAGCAAATAATGTACAAAAGAGATGGGAATTCAGTCCTAATCATGAACGTGGTTTGGGAGTAAATAAAATTTGAGAAACTGAGCACTAATGGAGAGCTGGTTTCCCAACGAGAAAGGTCACCTTGGCTTTGCACCCTTGTGGGAACACCTGAGCACTGACATGGTGACTCAGTGGGTCAGGGAACGTGCTCCTGGCTGGTTCTGAAGGGGACACTAGGAAATGGGGAGGAAGCAGGCCATGTGACCTCAGCTCTGCTTGAACAGGGTCCCTGTCCCTCCTGTCGATCCTGGCTTCTCCCTCCCTGGAACACAGCCTGGCACATAGTAGATTCCCAGTAAGTATTTATTGACTAAACAAATGCATGGGAGAATCACTATACATAAGACTTTGGAGCCAGTTCTAGCATTTCCAATATGAACATCAAAGTATTGCCCAAAATAGACAAGTCGTCTGGGGGCATCCAGGGCAACCTCATCATTGCATGAATGGGCAGTGGAAGCCCAAGAGGAAGAAGGTGTTTGCTCCAGCCACAGCCAGTGTCTGGGAAAAGCAGGGCCAGGAACTAGGACTTCCCATCTGTGATCATCCTTGCCAACACACCAGTCTATCACTTCTGTCATGCACCCACATGAATGACCTCAGTCCAGGCAGGCAATGCTGCAGGCAGGGTGGGGGAAGACAGCAAACCAGACTCCTGGCACCCAGCCTATGCTGGAAGAGGCAAAGAAGCCCCTGCTCGGAGGCTGCACAGAGGCTTTCTGTGTCGTGTAGCTCAAGCTGGACCACACCAAGGCAGCCTCTCTATCCTGGTCCTCTGACTCTGGGCACCCTCATTCTTGGTTAGGGTGAATCCCTCTTTTATGCATCAAGTCCACCTTTGCTGTAGGGAAAAGAAAGAGAGATCAGACTGTTACTGTGTCTATGTAGAAAAGGAAGACATAAGAAACTCCATTTTGACCTGTACCCTGAACAATTGCTTTGCTCTGAGATGCTGTTAATCTATAACTTTGCCCCAACCTTGAGCTCACAAGAACATGTGTTGTATGGAATCAAGGTTTAAGGGATCTAGGGCTGTGCAGGATGTGCCTTGTTAACAAAATGTTTACAGGCAGTATGCTTGGTAAAAGTCATCGCCCTTCTCCAGTCTTGATAAATCAGGGATACAATGCACTGAGGAAATCTGCAGAGACCTCTGCCCTGGAAAGCCGGGTATTGGCCAAGGTTTCTCCCCATGTGATAGTCTGAAATATGGCCTCGTGGGATGGGAAAGACCTGAGCGTTCCCCAGCCCAACACCCGTGAAGGGTCTGTGCTGAGGAGGATTAGTAAAAGAGGAAAGCCTCTTGCAGTTGAGATAGAGGAAGGCCAGTCTCCTGCCTGCCCCTGGGTACTGAATGTCTCGGTATAAAATCCGTGTACATTTGTTCAACTCTGAGATAGGAGAAAAACTGCTCTGTGGTGGGAGGCAAGACATGGTGGCAGCAATGCTGCTCTGTTATTCTTTACTCCACTGATGTTTGGGTGAGAGAAGCATAAATCTGGCCTACATGCACATCCAGGCATAGTACCTTCCTTGAACTTATTTGTGACACAGACTCCTTTGCTCACATGTTTTCTTGCTGACCTTCTCCCCACTATCACCCTCCTCTCCCACCGCATTCCTCTTGCTGAGATAGTGAAAATGGTAATTAATAAATACTGAGGGAACTCAGAGACCGGTGCCAGTGCAGGTCCTTTGTATACTGAGTGCCAGTCCCCTGGGCCCACTTTTCTTTCTCTATACTTTGTCTCTGTGTTTTATTTTTTTTTCTCAGTCTCTCATCCCACCTGATGAGAAAAGCCCACAGGTGTGGAGGGGCTGGTCCCCTTCATTTGCATGGGCACTTCCCAGGCTAAAGGCTCCAGAGGACTGCGCAGCAGAGGTTTTGGAGAGGAGAACCATAAAACCCACTGTCTCAGCCTCCCGGGGAGGCTGGCTGTGACCCCTGCCAGGGCCACTGGCACCTCTAGTCACCCTTACCCACTCCACTTAATGTCTTCTCCTCTCCTCTCCTCTCCTCTCCTCTCCTCTCCTGTCCTCTCCTCTCCTCTCCTCTCCTCTCCTCTCCTCTCCTCTCCTCTCCTGTCCTCTCCTCTCTTTTCCTTTTTAACGGAGTCTTGTTCTGGGGTGCAGGGCTGCCATCTCGGCTCACTACAACCTCAGCCTCCCAGGTTCAAGTGATTCTCCTGCCTCGGCCTCCCAAGTAGCTGGGATTATAGGTGCATGCCACCATGCCTGGCTAATTTTTGTATTTTTAGTAAAGACGGAGTTTCCCCATATTGGCCAGGTTTGTATGTTATTGTTTCTTGATCACACCTATTGTTAATTGCCTGCCTCTCCCGAGTAACCTGAGACCTCTGCAAGGGCAAGGATCTTTCTATATTTTATTCACAAGCCCCTAAAAGCCCCTCTCTGTCCCCACACAGAGAGGACACTCAGTGAATATTTGTTGAATGGATGGATGGATGAACTGATTGGACAAATAAAAGCCACAAGTGCTCAGGGGATTTGTATTTGCTCCTATCTCTGTGGCTGTCTTGCTGTGGGACCTTGTGCAAGTGATGTGATCTTCCTGAGCCTCAGTTTTCTCATCAGTAAAATGGGACGGTCACACCAACTGGAAGGCTTGTGGGCCAGTGAGATGGGGAAAGCACTCATGTCGTGCCAGGTTTTGATAGGCATCTAGGAAGTGCTGGTTATGTCAAAATCAAAATCCACTCATTCATTCACTCATTTATTCACAAGGTCGGTCGGCCCACAAATATGTGACCTGAGAAGGCTTCTGAGAAGGAGTAGTGGTTGACCTTCCCTGAAAGACTGAGTAACACGCTGGAGGGAAGTGGTGGGAGTGGGAGAGGATGAGGAGCAAGGAGAGCATTCAGGAAAGTTGGAAGATGTAGGGAGATGGCACACGGACCTACAAGAAGGAGCAGGCACGGCCACATCCCAGTCACTGCCAGGCTAAGGCATGTGACTCCCCTCCCAGAGGAGAGGGGAGCTTTGGAGGGGGCTGACTGTGTCTGGACACGGGTGATTGGCAGGGCAGTTTTTCTTTCCAGCAAGTACGTGTTCAGTGTGTGCTCTGTGGCATGTACCGGCCTGGGCATGGGGGATACAAGGACACCTAGTCTGCAGGCAGAGGGACACACAACACATGGACTTGCCTGAGCCTCTCTCAAACTGCACACCTGCTGCAGCCCACCATAGTTCTTCAGTTAAAGACCAGCATCCCTCTGTGGCCCACGATTTCTCACCTACCTCTCGGCCCCGCTCCCACCCCTTCTTGCTTACTCATCTCATTTCAGCTCCTCACCCATGCCACTCCCGACCTCAGGGCCTTTGCACACACTGTTCCCGCTGCTTGGTGGGGTCTCCCTGGGCTCCCACCCTCATTTCTTCCTCTTTTTTTCTTTTTCAAAATAGAATTTATTTTTACAGTGAATAATACAAATGTGGCTATGAAAGCAGAACATATTTAAAAATATTTAAGGTATGCAACTGTCATTTTAAAAACAGAATTAGTTAAAAGGAAGATGAATAAAGAACTCGAGCTTACGCCTGATTTCTATTGGTTTACTTAGAAATACCAATCAGTATCTAACATATTATTAACTATGCTGGAAAAAACACTTCTATATGCAGTTTTAATTCCTAACTACAGTTTAAAAACAGACGAGTTCCCAGCATTTGGAGCTCTCCCTAAATGTTACATCCTGAGGAAGCCTTTCTTGGGCCACCGGACTGGACGTGACCCTTCTGTGACACGTGACCCCCGGATTGGATGTGATCCTTCTGTGACACGTGACCGTCCGACTGGATGTAATCCTTCTGTGACATCCTTTGCAAGCTCTGCAACATCTCCTTCACTGTGCCCACTGCAGCTCATGACAAATGTGTGTTTATTGTATTCATGATGGCTTCCCTCACTGATTATTAGCCCCAGGAAGGCAGGAACCGGTCTACATATATCAACAATGAGCTCAGAGATTGCAGCCCGGAAGTCATCATTTAATGAAGGATTGACTGCAGCCCATGGGGGCTGGAGGGAACATTCAGACCCACTTGCCATCGTCATGCATGGAGATGAGGGTTTTGGAAGGCTGCTTGGAAGAGGCTGCTTGGAAGATGTTAGAAAGGTAGAGAAGAGTTCACAAAGAGGTCCTAATGGCCTGGGTATTAAAGGGTGAGTAGGAGTTTGTTAGGCTGGAGGAGGGAATTCCATTAGAGGAGACGGTGGAAGCAAATGCCTTGGGAAACAGCTGGTCATCGCAGACACTGGAGGGGGGCTGGTGGAGGACCGCAGCAGGGGCTCTCTACTGCAAACCCACGTGCCAGGCACGATGGCCATGCAACCTCATGTGATCCTCAGAGGTAGGTAGGTAGATAGAGGGTATTAGACTCCAGCTTAGCCGCTGAGGTAGATATTATGATCCTCTCTCAATAAATGAAGCAGCTAAGGCTCAGAAAGGTTTAGTGACATGCCCAGGTCACCCGGCCACTCAGTGGCTTGCCTGGCTGTGTCACGTCCCCAGTGTCATATGTTGTGCACCTGACACCGTAGCTGAGGGTTTCTGTGTCTTTCCACACCCACCCTTCAGGCTGGGGCAAGGGAAATTATATCGGCAAAGGGCTCGGCTGAGATTCCCAGCCTTTTCCCCAGGTCTGTGTCCCTGTGCGGGGTCTCAACCTTCTCCCTCACCCCCACCCTCTGGAAAAGGGGCTGAGCACTCTGGGCTCCCAGGCTCAGGCTTTACCACCATCCACTAGCCCCGGCCCCCCACCAGGCAGCCTTCTCCACCAGCCTCTGGGGACTCCTCCCTTCCTGCCCCAAACCAGAAGATGGGGCGCTTGCTGCATGTGGCTAACCCTGAGGCCACGAGGAAGCCACTTCACTTCTCTGAGCCTCAGTTTCCACGTCTGTCATAGGGACGCCCACTCTGGCTGCTCTGAGAGCACTTGTGACCAGAACACAAAGGACACTTTGAGCTGCAAACTGCTAAACAGGCCCGGGAAATGATAAGTAGGAACAGCCGAGGCTTCTCAGTGCCAAGCCAGCAAGTATCCTCTCCTCTCCAAACACCGGAAGCCCTGGGAATTCCCTGCAGGAGAAGAAGGAACCAGATGCCTGAAATGAGCTTGCCCCAGGCCGGGGACCTGTGCACGGCCCTGCGAGCACCTGGTGCCCTCTAGTGGCCACAGGCGGCCCTGCAGGGCCGCATTTTCTGGAACCACTCACTCTTCAATTGAACTTGCTAACAGGTTTAAACCGCAGGATCTACCTTTGACAACAAGATAAGGAAGGGACAGGGGAGGGAGGGTGCCAGGACGTTTTTTTTGTGCCTGAAATGGATAAAGCTGGCGGCAAATTCTAGCTGCTACTCTAGACTTCGTCCTTCTAATGTTGCCCGAGGGGCTGGACTGGCCCTGTCCCTGTTTCCCCATCCACCTGGATGCTGGCTAAGCCCAGAGCTCCCACGTGGACACACTGGGACAGATAATTGGCCGAGGGCTCACAGAGGCGGGAACAACTTTTTTTAAAGCACTGAACTAGCTTCCTCGGAGCCCCAAAGGGAGTGGCAGGACCTTCACTTCAGAAATAAGGCAGGCCCAGAGAGGGTCTGTGGCTTTCCCAAAGATACCTCATTCTAGGATTTGAACCCAGTCTCTCCCTCCAGTCTCCAGATACTTGTGGTGGCCCATACCTTCCCCAAATTATCCACCAATAGCCAGTTAACCTGGGGCAGGGCTGTGGGGAGAAACATTTGTTTATTAAATCACAGAGTCCCTCTGCCTGCTGGAGGGGAGAGGAGAATGCCACCGAGTGGGTGGGGCATCGAATCCCAGCATTTGAATGGGCAGGGAGGGAACGGGGCAGAGGACTTCCTAGAACTTGCAATTTTGCTCTTTCGGGCAGTCTAGGGAGATGGTGACGGGGAGGGGCTAAGCTGAACCGTGCCTGTCACTTCCATCTCAGGAAGACGGAACACATTCAACCCCAAGCCATGTTCGGGGTCTGCGGCAAGCAGGAATTCTCCTTTATTTTCCAATAGGGTTAACAATCTTTCCCAGGAAGAGCACGGAAGGTATTTTCTGGCTGTAAATCAGCAGCAGATAGGGTCTGTCTATCTTGACGACGAGTGGTGTCTCCATGGGCAGAGTCTGTGCTCCGGTGCCAGCGGCCCCCTCCGTACCCCTCTCATCCATCTTCAGCTCAGCCTTGTGCACAGCCTGTGGAAGCCAAGGGCAAAGTCAGGGACTGCCAAGCTGCTCAGCGACCATGGTGGCCGGAGGCCCAGAGAGGATCAGAGAGGGAGACAACTTGGTCCAAGCTGTCCAGCACAGCAGTAACTTGGTTTACTCCAGGGTTTCTGGCTCTTTTGCCATTAATGCTGGAGAATATTCGACAAGCAGATGCCGCGTGAAGGAAAAGATGGTGTAGGGAGAGCATCAGTTACGGGGGTCGATGTGGGGAGAGATGGAGTGGGGTTTGCTTCTCTTTCTCATGGGTTACAGGGAAGCATCAACCACAGCCATGGCAGAAAAGGTCTACTGGGCTGTAGCTGGGTGAAAGTGAGGTGGTGGTATCCCCACCCTGAAGCCTCCAGCACCTCCTTTCATCCACCTGGTGGATGGTTAAGAGGGAGGAAGATTCTGGATTAGCTCTGAGATGACTTGCATCCCAAATCCACTCCAAAGGTATCAACATCTGTAAACAGGTGATCAGTACTGGGAAGCTGATGGGTATGTGTGAAATCCTTGCACATTTCTTTCTAGTCTGCAAAATTCTCACAATTTTCCTTGCAGAAAACAGGACAGTATCTTGTGTTAGAATCACAGCTATCAGCAAACGTAACTACAGAACGAAACAAGCCATTAAACTCAACAAGACCTTCAGAGCTGGTGTTGAATGTTTGTGGGAAGTCTGTGGCAGGAAAGCTCAAAAGTGAGAAAATTCTAGTAACTGTGTTCCTTATGTCAACATGAAAAATACAGTGGAATCTGTGCCATCTGATTCAGAGCAGCAGGCTCAGCTTGGCAAGCTGGATCCTTCCCAGACTGGCTTGAACCTCCCACTTCATCTCCATTAAGCACCTAATCCCCACCACCCACTACTCCATGATATCCAAAAACCCCCAGCCTTGGCCACACTGCTGCACCCATTCCCGCACCCATCTCTGCTCGTTGAAATCTTTCCCCTCCTTCAATGCCTTTTTAACCCCAAAGTAGGGTTGCCAGGTGAAATACAGGACATCCAGTGAAATTTGAATTCAAGATAAACAATGAATATATTTTAGTGTAAGTATGTCCCGTGCAATATTCAGAACATACTGGCACTAAAAAAATTATTCATCATTTATCTAAAATTCAATTTTTTTTTTTTTTTTTGAGACGGAGTCTCGCTCTGTCATCCAGGCTGGAGTGCAGTGGCCGGACCTCAGCTCACTGCAAGCTCAGCCTCCCGGGTTTACGCCATTCTCCTGCCTCAGCCTCCCAAGTAGCTGGAACTACAGGTGCCCGCCACCTCGCCCGGCTAGTTTTTTGTATTTTTTAGTAGAGACAGGGTTTCACTGTGTTAGGCAGGATGGTCTCTATCTCTTGATCTCGTGATCCACCCGTCTCGGCCTCCCAAAGTGCTGGGATTACAGGCTTGAGCCACCGTGCCCGGTCTAAAATTCAAATTTAACTGGGTACCCTGTATGAAATTTGCTAAATTTGGTGACCCTACTTATATGCTGCTCTCTTTTGGCCCCAGGCAATCAGGTGCTCACCTTTGCCAGAGGCCACAGGCCCCTTTGCTTGGTCATATTTTCCTATGCAGCACATGCTTACGCCAACTCATACAAAACGTGTGGCCTTGGGCGCGGTGGCTCACGCCTGTAATCCCAGCACTTTGGGAGGCCAAGATGGGTGGATGATCTGAGGTCAGGAGTTTGAGACCAACCTGGCCAACATGGTGAAACCCCGTCTCTACTAAAAATACAAAAAAAAATTAGTTGGGCATGCGGCAGGTGCCTGTAATCCCAGCTACTTAGGAGGCTGAGGCAGGAGAATTGCTTGAACCTGGGAGGTGGAGGTTGCAGTGAGCCAAGATGTACCATTGCACTCCAGCCTGGGCAACAGAGCAAGACTCCATCAAAAAAAAAAAAAGAAAGAAGAAAGAAAGAAAGAGAGAAAGAGAGGAAGAAAGAGAGAAAGAAAGAGAAAGAAAGAAGGAAGGAGAGAAAGAAAGAAGGAAGGAAAGAAAGAAAGAAAGAAAGAAAGAAAGAAAGAAAGAAAGAAAGGCATGTTGCCTTTGAGAGAGAGTCTGGGTTAGATCTAGACCAGTTCTAGGCCTGATAACTGTTCCAGGCCTTGATCAATGTTTGCTACATTGAATAGTTTTCCAAAATAGTAGCAGTTTTAAAGACTGGAAGCATGAGGCTGGGGGAGGTTATGTGGTTTGCCCAGTATCACGGGATTGGTAAGGGTCACAGCTGGATTCATGGCCACTCCAACCGGTGGGTGGAGTCCTGGCTCTGACAGCCACTGTGACCCCAGCTCTGGCCTGGGGCTGGGCGAAGGCCCCTGTGTTGCAGGGAGTGGAGTCCAGGCTAGGCAGGCTTACCTCGCTGACTTTCAGGTTGCGACAAGGGGCGATCTTGGTGAGATCACCATGCTCCTCAAAGATTTTGGAGATACCCATGTAGGAGAGAGTCTTCTTCAGGTCGAAGGTGCCCGTCATGTGGAGTCTGGGCACAGACACATCTACGACCCTGGGGAATTGACACGACAAGGGTGAGTGGTCAAGTCCTGTCATGTTGCAGGGCAGGCCTCAGGATACATGACGAATGAAATGTGTCCTCCCAGCCCCAAAGGTCTCCAATCTCTCTCCATCCACAGAATGAGGAGGGATTCCTTAACCCTGGGACCCTGGTTTCAAAACACTGTAAGCAATCTGAACAGTGTCCCTGCCTCCCAGCACACCTGCCCCAGAGCCCTCTACAGGGAGTGTTCTCAAGTCTCAAGTCCCCCTGTCTCAGAGCCCCTTCAGCCGCAGTCACTGACGATGTCCCCACTGTAGTCACTGCCATGCCTGAGCCCTGAGCCCATCCTGACCCTGGAATATCTGACGCTGAAGGGAACAGGGCATCCAGAATCTGGAGCTAGACAGAACTGGGTTCAAATCCACTCTGCCTCTCATGAGCTCTGTGACTTGGGGCAAATGACCTTCCTTCTCTAAGTCACTTACGTGAGAAGGAAGCTGATCATCATCTCTCCCGTGGGACACTAGGGGTGCTAAGGCAAATGCAGGCAAGGTGCTCAGCAGACAGTCAGCACTTAGCAGGTGTCCATCCTCCTGCCCTCCAACTAGCAACTTCACATCCTCTGTGGCTGAACCGCGATCAGCCTCCTGCCCGGAGCCTGGGGCCAGGGTCTCCTGAGGTACCTGCAGACCCTGGACTCCTGCTCACCTGGCCCTGCACCTTATTTTCCCACCTACCCAAGGACCTCATTCCTGCCTATGTGTCCTCTCTCTCCTGCATCATCCTTCAAGAGTGTCCCTTTGATCCTCCTCTGGCGAAGGCTGCACCCTATCCTCAAAAACTAATGCCAAGACATCTGTCTTGGCCCTGAATTGCCTTTCCAGCTTCCAGCTCATTTCTTTACTTCCCTTTGTAGCAGAGGTTGTCTCTGCTAGCTATCTCCACTCCCTCCCACGATTGCCTCAGTCCACTGCAGTCAGCTCTTTGACCTCAACTTTCTATGGAAGTAACTCTTTCCAGAGTCACCGTTGACATCCAGCCCCACATCCCAGAGTCAACTCTCAGTGAGCCGCACCTGCCAGTAATCTCTTTCCCCGGGGTGAAGCATTCCAAGTCCACCCTTGAGGCTTCTCCTCCTTCCCCACCACTCCTGCTCCTGTCTGGCTCCAGCCCACCTGTCTCTACCAGCTACGCTGCTGCTCCAAGACTCAGACCTTGGTCCCCTTCTCTTTTCCACCTTCACTCCCTCCCCATGAAGGGCATTCAGTCTCAAGCTTTGAGTATCATCCACAGACCCGACGACTCCCAAATTCACCTTTCCACTAATTCATTCACTCAACAAACATTTATTAAATGCCCACTGTATACCAGGTGCTGTTCTAGGTGCTGGAGATGCATCTATGAACAGAACAGGCAAAGATCCCTGCCCCTGACTGTGTGTTCTAGCAGGGAAGACGGGGGATAGAATCAACATAGCAAAAAGTACCACCTAAACCTACATACATGTACCGGTAGTATGCAGAAGGCAGTAAGTGCTATGGAAAAAAATAAATAGGTCAACTTGCAGAAATCAGGGATCAGTCCAAGGTTTGAGCAAACCTTGAGGCATGCAAGGGAATTAGACAAATTAGGATTTTTTTTTTTCCTGAATAAAATGGGCAGTCACTGTAGGGTTTTGAAGAGAGGAGTGACATAGTCTTGCTTAGGATTTAAAAAGATCATTCTGTCGCCTCTGTTAAGAATATACTCTTGGTGCTGGTGGTGCGTGTGAAGTAGGGATGCGCAAAACTGATGCTGGGAGACCATTTGGAAGCTAGTGTGGTCGTCGGATGTTGGGAGCCATAGAGACAGTGGAAAGATACCAAATTCCAGATGTAGTTTGCTGTAGGCTAAAGGGGTTTCCTGACAGACGGAATGAGGCATTTGAGAGGGGTCAGGGTGACTCCAAGGTTTTTGGCTTGAACAACTAATAAGATGGAGTCACCATTGACTGAGATGGGCAGGCTTGGGGAGGCTCCCTGGGGACAGATCAGGACACCATTCTAGATGTGTTGACTCTAAGCTCCAATTACACATACAGGGGAGATTCTGGGTAAACAGAAAGATCCATGACTCTGGAGTTTGGGGGAGAACAGGGGCTGGGGCTAGAAGCATGGCAGTCGTGGTAATAGAGATGGTGTTTAAAGGTCTGAGCCTGTGCACTCACTCAGGAGTAAGTATAGACAGAAAAGAAGGCTGGGAATTGAGCCCTAAGACACTCACCTCTGAGACCTGGAGGAGGAGAGGAGTCTCCAGCAAAGGAGATTGAGGAGGGGAAAGGTGGGAGGTGCCGTGAGAGTGGAGAGCTTGAAGCCAAATGAAGAGCACCTTAAGGAGGTGGGGACACCAACCAGCCTAACAGCGAGGCCTGAGACTGACTGCACTCTGCAACACAGATACCCTTGAGACCCTGGGAATGGAGCTGTCTGTGAGAAGTAGGTGCAGAAGCTGGACTGGAGTGGATTTAGGAAAGGATGAGAGGAACTAGGGGCTGTGAACAGAGGCAACTGCTTCACGGTGTTCACCTGCAAAGGCGGAGTGACGAAATGGGGGAATAACTGGGGAAAAACAAGGGTCAAGAGAAACTTATGTTGGGAAAAACAAGAGCATTGGGATTTCCTGCAGGCCAGCACAAGCCGTACAGGTCGCTTGCACAGAAGGCAGACACCTGCTTTGTCTTCTTGCATAGAAGCCACTTCCATGAGCTGTAAGTTATCCCTGGCCCCCTACGAGGTTTCATGATGAGATGGAAGATAAGAGCATCTTTGTATCTGACGGAAATGATTCAGAAGAGAGAAAAACATATGCTGATGTAGGAAAGTGAGGAGAGGATTTCTAGGGTGAAGTTCCTGAGTAGCGAAGGGCCCTAGGTCCAGTGCGTTAATGGGGAGATTTGCTTTCATTTGTGCCAACGTGGGAAGGCATTAAATGCAGCTGCTGCTGGCAGGTGAGTGCATATACCAATATGTACGGAAATGTGTGGGGTGCCCAGGCTGGGAGTGAACCCTCAACACTTCTGAACAGGACAATGGCTATTTCAAAACCACCAGCAGTTTTCTGCTCCTAAAGGTGGACCCTGGGAAATAGAGCTTTTCCTCTGGCGAAATCAGAGGAGCAGCACCTGGCCTCAAATTCTGCAAATCCAAAGCAGGTGTCTGCCTCCTGCACAGAGGCCAGGTGGACGTCATCCGAAGCCTAAATTCTGACATGTTCTACCCACATGTAAACTGGTGTGTGTCTGTTGACTTGGTTACTTCTTTTAGGGAAAAGGTGATTTTTCTGCTCAGGGTCTTCTCCCGTCTGGAGGGGACTGCAGGAAGAACACATAGGGATATCCCGTCCACCCCACAGCGGACCACTGAGATGTCCGGACTGCGCTTCTTACCTGTAGATCAAAGCAACTTGACCACTTATCTCCCAGAAATAATGAGCTCAGACAGTAGGAATATTTGCCTGTCATGTTCTAACCAAATGTAATTCCTTGGGGACCGTGGGCAAAGCCGCCTGTCCTGCAAGAGGATTTGGAGTTTCTTCTTGGGAAGGCAGACATTTCCCTGCCTGTCATTCCAAGGCCAGAAGTGACTGGGTAGGCAAGACATTCCTGGGTGAGAGGGACCTTCCTCTCCACGGCCCTCCTGGTGAGGAGGCCTGGCCTCAAGTCATGGAGATGCGGGAAGCAGTCCCAGAGGGATAGGGGAGGCAGAGCAGGCACTAGATAAATGGAAGGAGGTGCCCTGGAAGAGACACTGAGAGCAGCCTACACTTGGACTCTACAAGATGCCACTTCTAAGTAACTGCACTCTAAGTTATCCTGGGTTCCTGCGAGAGCTTTGGTTCTGTTATTCCCAAACCTCCAGGAAGTCTGGCACCAGCCTACAGAAAATCTCGAAGGTTCTATTCCACTCTTGAGTAAAGGTGCAAAAGGAGATGAAGCCTGAAGCCAGAGAGATGGTGGCCGTGCCCAGGGAACATCTCTGTGTGGTTGATGGTGGCCTGATGGTGGTCACAGCACCGGGGGCTGCAGAGGGCCTTGGTGAGGGGAACGTGAAGCCTCCAGTGCAGCACCTGAGCTGTAGCCCCATGGGGAAATCATCAGACATGGCTTGGAGATGGGACTGGAGCGCAGTCAGGATGGCAAGTTCCAGCAAATCAACTGCAGGGTCTCAAGCCACTGTAATTTGAGTCCTACAGGAAATGTCATATTCTGGAGTCCACGTCTCACAAAGCCAAGAGTGGAAGACCTGGCATTCCTCCCATTTCTCACCTTCTCTTCACCTTCTACAGCCCCGAATTCCTTAGGGAGATCTCCCAAGACATCCCTATGAACTCTAAAACTCTGTAGAGTGCAGGCTGAAACATGTCAGTCCCTTTGGGATGTCCCCATGTTGAGACAACATGGGGGAACCTGTGGATGGTAACTGAACTGAACTGATGTGACTCCTTTCACACGGAACATAGCCTTGGAGGCATTGCAGAATGCATCTGTTATATCTAGAGTGAGCTGCAGGCTCGAGAAAGGAAAATTCTGGTTCTGAATGCTTTCAATAAAGTCACATTTCTGGAAGGGGGGAGCTAAGTGCCAGGGCATTCCAAGAGCGCTGCCATCCCTTGAGATCTGCACAGCTTCACCTGCCCTTCCCACTGGAAACATCTTCTTCAGTGGAGGAGCAGCCACCCTACAGCTTCAACTGTTGTGACACTACAGTTGACAACATCATTCTCCTCACAACTCACAGCTCTTTTTTACAGCCCGTGTTTGTCCTTGCCGTTTCCTTTGCTCCTCCCCCTTTCATACAGACTGCCACCCAACCTTGAAGACTTGGCTCAAATACTATATCCTCTGTGAAGTCCTCCCTGACCACCACCCTCCACTGAGACTCCATCTACTGTGCTTTCACAGTCTTGATGAATTTCCCTCAAAGAGTCAAGCACTTCACTCTATTCCTGTGATTTGTTCCCCAGTATACTTCTCACCATGATATAAGTTTATTATAGAGCCCAGAAGAGGACTTGGCCATGAGGTAAGAGCTCAGAGAGAAGAAATAAGAGGGAATACAGGAGAAGGAAAAAGCTGCGAGGGCTAGGCACCCACTTTACCTGCGTGACAGTAACGTTTTCCATCTGGAGAAAGTGTCCACCTGCAAGCCTTTCTCCAAGTGCTTCAGCTTGCCCTCATCAGGAAGGAGGAAGATGGCTGTGATACTTTTATGGTAGGGTATTTCCAGGATGGTGCAAGAGAGCTTATCATCATAGCCAACTTGGTACATGCCACTATGGAACATCATGGGCACCTTGACTGAACTGTTTTTCTCCAGAAAGAAATCTTCCTCTTTAGTTACATTTGGATCAAACTCATGTTGCCACCTGGCTTAGTTTGAAGAAAGACAAAATGACATGATTATCCCATGGGAAAAAAGGTGACTAAATCCAACTAACCACTAGTCTCTGTCCACACAGATTCAGGGTGAAAGGGGATGTTCTGGGGTATCAGGGAAGTCCTTGCCCTCATTCCACGTCCTGGAGATTTCTGATGAGATGGGCTCAGGTGCAATTATTAGTTCCCAAAGAAGTCAGGACTAGACTGCTAAATTAAGAGGGGAAAAGCAGACTACCATAAGCTCAGGTTCCCCTAAGCCTGAGAAAGCCCACTGAGTATGTCCTAGCAGAGGGGACTGCATTACAATTAATGATGGCTAATTGAGTCTGATGTGAGTAGAAATGCTTGATTCTAATCTGAGTCAGTCCTGAAGGAGCTGCTGTCATGTGGAACTAAGAAAACTGGTGAAACAGGCTGCCGTTGGGAGCTTGCCAAAAAGCAGTGAACACTGAGGCCTGGGTGCCTGGACTCTGAAGATGCCTTGACCTATTGGGCATAAACTCAGACCTGGGTCTTTCAAACTTGCCACCCGAGAGTCCTCATTGTAGGGCCAACTCCCTGAGTTCAAATCCTGGCCTCACTGTTCTATCTACCTGTCCAAAAGGTTATCAAGGGTTAACCTTGGATAAGTGTCTCAATCTCCCTGGACTTCAGTGTTCTTATTTGTAGAATGAGGATATTGACAGCTACCTCATAGGGATGCCTTGACATGTAGCGGGATAAGGCAGCACAGCTCAGTGCCTGTGTATAGTGAGGTTGAGTAGGTGCTAGTTGTCATCAGCATCGTTATTTTCACTGTTATTCCTATTGTTATCTATGGGACATAGGGATTTCAGGAAATTCCATATTCTCCCTTTTCCTTCTCTGGTTTAGGCACATTGAGGTTTTAGACTGCCAGTGGTCACCTTTTTTCTTCTTTAGCCGTCAATCTGCCTGTGGATTTTGAGAACCCTCAATTTTTTATATTTAGTACCATGTTCCCGACACTCCAGCAGTGATTTTATCTGGACTGATGGGTGTTGGCCTCTGATTCTCACCTATTTTGGCCAACCTGTCTGTGTATATGTGTTCTGTGTGGTGTTGGGGGATAAAGCTGAAATTTGGAAACATTCTTCCGTCTTTTTTTTCTGTCTCTCTCCATCAGATCTGGGAAATACATAAAGTCTGATAAGGAGAATTCATATATATTATATGTAAGAAGACCCACCAAGTGATCACCATCACCATAATCAACACAATCACCATCTCAGGTGTCTGCTTAAAGTGCCGGAAAGCACACGGTGCTAGAGCCAGGAGAAATGGGTTCCAGTCCTGACTCAATGATGGGCTTTGTAACTTGGAGTAAGTCAGTTAATCTCTCTCTGAATGTTTTTTCTCATCTAAGAGATGGGAACGAAATGTAATTCCGACCTCTATAACCAATGTTGTGTTAGGATAATCACTAATCATGAAAATGACAGACTTCATAAAGCTCATTTCACATACATTTTCACTTTAAATCTTGATAATTGTATGATGAGTTATGTATCATGATACCCATTTTACAGATAGGAAAAGTGAGGTTCTGAGAGATAAATGACATATGAATTCAAGGTCAAAGAGCAAAGAGTGGCCAACCCAGATTTTTAACCCAAGTCTAATGGTCATCCTATTCTTTCCACACCAACATGCCAAAAACCTTACCTCGGAAGAAAATATAATTTGTAAGAAGCATCACAGTGCCAGGGTCTATATTCTCTATCAGGTTGTTAATTTTCCCATAGGTTTTATTACTGATAAAGTCATTGATCTGCTTCTGAGTAATTTTCAAATTCTGAAAGTTGGTAAGGATGGTTTCTGCACCGTAAAAGTTCTCGGCATCTTCCAAAAACTTACGCTGGGGCTGCAGCCCCCGGTCAATGAACAGCGTGTTCCCGATGCTCACTTTGAGGTCCTGGGTCTTCTGGTTCAGCTCGTGGATGATGTAATGGAAGCCCTCATGAAGATCTTTTTCTGGGATCTTTCTGAAGTTGAACCCCTGCTTGATCTCATCCAGGGTGCTGTCCTGGGCACCCAGGCACAGCAAGGAGAAAGCTGTAGAGATACTCAAGGGGGATAGCATGATATTCCTGCCAGGGTTGTTGGAGGCCAGCTTCTTGAGAAGCTTAAAGCCAAAATCCATGTTCTGCCTTGTAAGCTCCTTGGCTGCCTTCCTTTCCTTCCACCCTTGGGCCTGGCTCAAAGCTTTATAATTCCTTGGTGAGAAGCTCGGCTTCAGAAGACCTTTCACAGTGAGGAGAACAGCCAGAAAAATAGCCAGGCCCAGCGTGGGGTTCATTTTCCTTGAAGACTATCTTGTTGAGTAGTAGACCTGAGGTTAGCAGAAAAAAAGAACATGATAACCCCATCGCCCACAAGTTACCCAGAGGAAGACCAGATGAAAGAAGAAATACAGTGACTAGTATGTGTTGTACATCGCAGTTTGTGAGTGCTTTGACCCGTTCATAGCGTTTAACCTTTGTAGTCACCCTGGGGACTAGAAATGACTTTCTACATTTTGTAAATAGGAGGACTGAATGTAGAAGACATCTTTTGTTTTTGTACCCTCTTTATGGAAACAGTGTCTCAATTCCTTTGAGGAACAGCTCTCCTCCCCTCCATTGGACCACAGTGAGGATACCCCGTAGTGTAGGCATGTGACCCAGACCTACCGTCATAATACTTCATTCCTTTGCCACACTGGCTGGTTAAAGATGAGAGTGTGGACCAAAATCAGACCAGTCAGTGTCTTTCTAAGGGAATGTAAAAGCCCCTAAACTTTGAGGCAGCTAACTTTGTGAAGTAGCCCTGAAGCTGAATGTGGCCATGGTTTCCACATGTAGGAGAGGAGAGCAATAGAGGGAGGTGGAAAGACAGAAATGGACTGACACATCCGATGACATCTTCGGAGACCCTGGACTAAGCTTTACCTCAATTTACTACCCACTTCCATGTTTCCAAGTTATAAAAGCCAATAAATTTCCCTTTTAGAGTTGGCTGGTTTGAGGTGAATTTTTTCCCCTTCAGCCAAAAGAATCATGACTAATTTGCAGAGATCAAGCCCTTTGTTTAAGCGCATATGTTCTCTAGGTGGTGGATACTCATACCAGAAGGACTTAGGTCTCCAGGAAACCTTCTTCCCTACGCCCTTCCCAGGGAGGGAAGGGGATGGCACCATGGGAGAGGAACAGCCAGGTCTGCCTGGCGCTGGACTGCTGCTCCTTTCACCCACCTCTCAGCTTTGACATCTTCCAACGGCACTGTGAGCTTCTGGGAGACAAGACTTTTAGTTACTCTTTGCCCTTAATCTCCAGTCCTAATGCTGCAGAGAGATGCCAAAAGCATGTTGGCCTAATTATTGATTTCTCTGGTTGGACATACTACTGTCAGTGATGGTTATACCAATTCATACGTAAAATGAAGGCAGATTTCTTTACTTGGTCATCTGTTATGTCATTTAGTCTGCTTTCTTCCTGTGATTTATATCTTGTGTGTCTGTAATTCATGGGAAAGAGTCAGCCTGTCCACAGTAAAGGCTATTCATGGTTGTCTTAGATGGGTTCCCTAGAAGCAGAACCTGAGATGGGGATTTAGCTGCATGTTATGTATTGAGGCAGTTGTCTCAGCAGGAGCCTATAGGGAAGTGACGGAAATGGGATGGAAAAGGGAAGGAGCCAAGGTGACATCTAGCCTTGGCCTGGTCCACAGTGGAAGGGCTCTCCAGGCTGGCCTTTTGGACAGAATCAGTCAGTTAGTGGCTGTGATCTGTCCTCTGGATGCAGGTCATGGTGCATAACTGGGTCAATTAGGTCTTATCAGCCAAGGACAATTTTCTGGAGAGGGGAAGGCCGCTGTGAGCTGTCAGCAGCCAACCCTCACAGCAGTACCAGCAAAGGGGAACTGGGTCAGCCACCAACAGGGTCTGCGCAGCTAAATTCCCATGGCTGGCTCTTTCTGGTTGACTGAACAAGCAGATGAATGAACACTAGGCAGGGCCTGTACCTGGGAGTGTCCCCAGTTCCCATGTTCTTCATGTCCAAATCCTTCTATGCCAAGCACTATGGATAGAGCCTTGATCACAACAAAGGTCTTCAAGGAGTTTGTAGTATAGTATTGGAAAATTCTAGTGAATAATGCTCATTGCTCCCTCAGCATCCATTCTCCCAGCTTCCCAATAGATCATCCTCCTCCTTCTCCTCCTCTTCCCCCTCCTTCCCTTCTTCTCCTCTTATCCTCTCCTCCTCATCTTCTCTTTCTTTTTCTTATTTTCAGTAATACACTCTTCTCTCAGGCAGCCCATGTGCCTCAGGGACAGAAGCTCCTCCCTACTCCAATGGAGGGCCTGATTGGTGCAGGGGCATCTCAACTCTCCTGCTACTGGTTGCTTCAGGAGCCAGACCTAATCCAATCATTGCAGGTGGGAATTTCTGCCCTGATACTTGTTTAGGGAGGGGCATGTGGCTTAAGAGGTACAATGAGGGAGGATTTCAAGACTGTTGGAATGTTGGGGTGCTGCCCTGTCTCTTTCCTGGGATATCTTGGGCAGGAAGGTACGGCAGGCAGGGACTAACAGCAACTTTGCTCCATGGGGGAAGTGACTCGAAAGCAAAGCCAGAGCACAAAGAGGATGCATCCAAGGGCTCTTAGGAGAAACCGGAGCTGGGGCCATGGAAAAAGCTGGCCCCAGAGCGCACCCTGCCTCTGGACCCCCAGTGACATTGAGTTACATCGTCATTTCCTTGAAGCCAAAAACATCCTCACAAATATGGGCAGATACATTTTTTTTTTAAATGCCAGGACTACGAAGTAGGCAGGAGTTCTGTGCTCTGCTCTCATGCCTTCGTAGCTGTGTGACATTCCAGGAAGCACTTTCCCTCTCTGAACCTAGGTGCTCTCTAAGCACCTTCCACCCCCAAAAACTACTTTTTGGTAAAACTTAATAACAGCCGGTGATAAACAAGGGCTCTATGGGCTGTCTGAAAACAGACTGTAGAAGAGAAATTAGTAAAATTCCCAAGGATGCTTCAGATAAACAAAAGAAAATAGAAAATGGGAAGGATTCCAGCTCAGGGTTTAGGGGGCTGCATTGTTTACAAAGGCTGCCTGGATTAAAAACAGAAGCTTCTGCTATTCACAGTGGGCGCAAGTGCCCAGTGCCTAGGAGTGGAGAAGTTAAGTCATGTCCCTCAAGGAGCTGAGAAAACATTCTCAGCAGCAGGTTTCACAGCCATTTGACATGGAGGACGTTCAGCAGCCTGGCAGGAGCCTTGGGACGAGGCTGGGCAGGGCAGGGCCGGAGCAGGGAAGGAACCTGCAAAAAGCGCCATCCCGGGAACACTTTGTGGCACGCACAGCTTTACCGTGATGTTCAGTCGCTGTGCCCTAAAGTTTTCTCTACATCGCCAAACTTCAGAAATGAGAACAGATTATGGAATTCCAGGTCTGGATAGCGGTTCTCCCCAACTTGTATGTTTGTTAGGCGTTTCAAGGCAAGTCTCCTCACCCTTCAGGCTTACAGTATCTTCATCTATTAAATAAGGGGAAGGTGGTGATAATTTGGTTTCTTCCCCCATGAGATGCTGGTGATCAGGTGGTACTGCCACCACCGCCCCCCCAAGGGACACAGTCCACACCCTGGCCTGGCCAGGTCTCAGCACCTTCCCACCTTTGCATGCCTGTGTCACAACAGTCCCCACCAGGCCTCCTGCCCTGGCTCCCTGAGTGTCAACATCTGGCCTTTCTCCCCCAAACAGCCCACACCAGCCCAATTCTGGGCCTTTCCATCTATCATCACGGGCTTTAAACTGACCCAAATTTGTCAGTTGGGTTAGATACCTGAGTAGGCTAATTTTTAATTCCATCAATTAAAATAGCTGAGCAACTGGTTATTTCCCAATCAATTGATATGTTGCTCTCCTGAGTTGAGCAATTGTTTGTTGGCTTTTAGTTTGGAGTGTGTGTGTGTGTGTGTGTGTGCGCGCATGTATCTGTGTGTGTTTGGCTGTCACTCAAAATAAATAAAGAGATAAAGCTAAAACAAAACCAAGAAAAAAAGAGAACAAGATAGAAACCGAACCCCATGGGGTACACATAGGACACATAAGGCTATAGTCAGTATTTCAAGTCTCTGACCATCCTACTCCCATGCTCCCTATTAATTTGGAAAAATAATTTCCTCCTCTTATGACTAGATAAAATAGTGCCTCACTGACCCGGAAGTCATTCATCCTAAAGACAGATTCAAACCAGGTGGGAAGGATCTGCACAGGTAGCACAGGCGGCTTAAGTCTACACGAGAGGGCGTGTAGCAGTGGGAGGGCACTGCTTCCACCTCCCACACCGTCCCAATGAGCCAACTGAAGCAACAGTGAACGATGACAGCAGACTCAACAATAATAGTATTTCAAAATTTACAAAGTGCTTCCCCCATTATCACCACAGTTTGAAGAAACAATACCTAAACAGGGAGAACACACACAGGCTACAGAAGGTCTACTCAGCCCACAGTGGTTTGGAACCACAGTTTCCTTTAGAGAGACCTCCCCCTGTCCTTGGGCAGGTCACTCCTCTCCTGATAGTTGACCACCCTCCCTCTCTTCCCTGGGGTGAAACTGACTGGCTAGAAAGAGTTGGTGTAATATCCTTCTTCAAGCCAATGAGACCAAAATGTTTAGAATACTTTGGACAAGTTCCCAAGTCTTGAGAACCAACAGAGTGAGCTTCAGGCAACCAATGTGTTCCCTGCTCATTGGGGAGAAGCTTCCTATACTTGGCTGCATGCACCAGGCACCCCTTCCTGCCCCAGAAACCCCTTCCTGCCCCAGGAACCCCAGGCCCTCTGAGATGCCACCTTTCCTCGGAATCTTTTCAAAGCACCCCTTGGAGTGTGTAGCACTTGGGTAAACTCAGTGCCCTCCCTTGGGCTGAGAAATCTGGGGAATCCTTGCTAAAGATGTGCCTTAGCCTCCCAACAGAAGACCCTCACCAGAGCCCCATCTTGAAGAGCCACTCCAGGCCTGCTCTGTGGCTCACCTGTTTTAAAGGACTCATATTGTTTTTAGAAGAAATCACTCAATATACAGTAGAAATTAAATTACTATTTTTAAAAGCACATTTAGAACTAAGTGGTGGTAAGATATATCTTCTCTCCCCTGTTAGAAGTAAGAGAAGCCCTGTAAACAAACTCTGATGACCACAGCAATATACTTTTTCCTCCTTCCTGGAAAACAAAGAGTGGAGCACATGTCCCCATTCCACTTCTTAATTTGCCCTGTAGATTTCTGCCTTCATTCTTGAAGAAATATGTTTGAGTCCTCACTCTGTGTCAGGCACTGGGACACTACAGCAATGCCCAGAAAATGGTCCATATTGATGTTGCAGACTGACTCTCAGCCCAGCAAGCCCCACAGCCTTCTCCAAACCCTCGAGAACTTTCCAGCTGTTTGCCTGACCTGGTCCTCCTCCCCTTCTGTGACTGCATTCTAAGGGGAGGGGATATGTGGGTTGGAAAGGCTGAGAGATCATCGACTTCAGGATTATCTGTGCCATAAAGAGGGAAATGAGGCTCAGAGTGGACAAAGGAAGACATCATGGTTGCAATGTGCATCAGTGGTGAGAATCCAGCTGGTGAAGGCAATTCTGCAGAAATGCATTGAACAGGCTCCTTGGCCTCACTTTCTCCACGAATCAATGAGTTGATAGATCTAGCCTCTGTCCTCAGAGAGAGAGAAAGATTCCCAAACAGCTCACATACAAGGCTGACTATGGCCAGCATCATGCAGCAAGGGTGGACCCAAGTTGGAGGCACCACTTATGTCCCAAGACCTCTCCCATCCCCACATTCATGAAGCTTTTTTCTCTAGAAAAGCACTTGGCAGTAGACATCCATAACACTCTGCCAAAGACGTTCAACAAATTCCTCAAGAGGGGTTTACCTGGATTTTGGAGATCCTCTAGAATTTTCCTTTCATACCCCCTCCTGTGGATAGTGCTATATCCTCCCTCATTCTGAAGAAAGCTTCACGTGGAATAGACAAGAAGCACTCGGTCTTTTGAAAGGGAAGGTCTTATACTCACAGTACATTCAGAAGTCCACTGAGCCAGCCAAATGCATCTGCCTTTCTTGCTTTATTATTTATACTTCCATGGTCTCTTGGAAGACTAAGGTCAATAAAATGAGCTGGCGTGAGTGGGCAGGTGATGGAGGCTTTGGGATGGCCACACCACCTCCCCAGGGGTTCTCCTCACCCGTGGAGGCAGCAGCATGATATTGTACCGGCCACGCCCACTGGGCTGTGGCTTCCCTAATGAACTCCAGTAGACACCTTTTGCAACGACTCTATTTCCCAATCTCTCTCTGGGCATAGAAGTCAGAATAGTCTACAAGTAGATCAGCCTGGAGTCCTAATACTGAATATTCAACCCAAATATCATCATTGCTGACCATAGGAACAGGTTGATAACTGGGTTTCTTGGGGTCATTCCCATATATCCCTCACCATTTTCTTTTGCTATTTTTTCATGTGTTCCAAATTGTCACCTCTGTTACCTTAGCTCACATGGAGTCCTTTGGGGAAAAAGTTCGAGGAGAGACAAATAGACAACTAAATTCATAAGTTCCATTAGGAAGAACAGGAATTAAAAATTCACCTCAAAGTTCACGATCATGGAAATTACAAATTGTTTTCCTATTGTATATTTATTGTGCTGGAGTGATGAGACTATGGCTGGGCTCTGTTGTCTCTGCCTCCCCCTTACTTTTCTATATTTTCCAAATTGTCTTTAAAAAACAGATACTACTTTAGGATTAATTTTTCAAAGGCTTAAAATAAAATAAAATTCTTATCTTCAGGTTTATCTCTTGGAGAGAAAAGCATTGATGATGTCTGGGAACCTTCCAAACCCACTGATCCTGGGATGGAAGAGCAATAAGTTCAACATGCCTATCTTCAATTCTGCTTTATCTAGTGAGCTCCAGTGAGCAGAAAAAACATTCATGTATTTCTTCCCCATTTAGTGGTGCTTCACAGTAGGTCATATCTGACCGAAGCACCTCAGAGGCCTCAGAAGAGCCGTGGGTGGTGTTTTTCCTTCCTTTGGGTTGCTGCCTTTGACAAAGACATGACTCTCATTCCCAGCGCTATTCAGAGCAGGCGACCCAGAGAAACTTTCTTGGAAAGAGGCAACACTAGTTCATTCCCAGGCCTGGTTCAGCCACAAACTCTATGCACTCAGGGCCTAGACAAACAAGGCTATGGGGATGTGGGTTCCGGAGCTGCCCAGATCAGAGAGTACCCCCGAAGAAGCCCCTGAGCCACCACCTTCCCTCGCCCAGGGAGCAAGGCCTGCCTGCTGGGATGCGTGGGTCAGAGACACCACGTGAACGGTGAGACAGGAGACTTCACACTGGCCAGCTCTGGTCACCAAGGGGCTGCAAAGGAGATAGAAGGACAGGTTGAGACCAAAGAGTGCAGGTGGTCCTATTGTTACTGTAGAGTCTATAGTGGTGGAAGATCAGAGCCAGCAAGCTGGACACTGACCCGGAATCCAGGTCTGTACCCCTGGTTTGGGAGGGAAAACCTTGCCCTCTAATGACAGGGTGAGGCCTGTGTGAGTCTGAGGGCCACGCCTCCCTGCCTGCCCCAGACACACTCCGCTCCAGGGCAAATTCCCACGGGAGACATGCAGGGAGAGGCCAGGGTGGGGATGCCCACTGAGTGACGTGAGCAGCACTGGGGATGCCTGAATTCAGACAGTGCCAAAGGCCAGTAGGCCACGGGAAGAGGGTAGCCACAGGTGGGCTGCAGGCCAGCCAGGCGCTATACCTTGGTGGGCCCATCCTGCCTGGGAAAAAGAGCCCTGGAGGAGGTGCATGTCTGTGGAGAGCAGTGAAGGAGATAGGCATGGGAAGGAGCAGCCCTCTCCACGTGCCCATTAAGGGACCTCAGCCTAGACTTGAGGCTGCCCTGACTGCCTGTAGTTAAGATTCAGGTCCCATGGATTTATGCCTGGTGTTCATCGGGGGCTAGGAGGATGAAGGGGATTGTCCAGCCTGGGGAGATTATTGTTATAAGTTAATGGGCCCAAGACACTGGCTGGAGGCTGAGGGGTGGCATGAATATTTTTTACATTATTGCCTTGTATAGGGGTGAGAGGGGAGCTAGGAATTTCTGGTCCTCACCCTCACTCTTTGAATCTCCCAGATGCCAGAAACATGTTAATGACCATGCCACATTCTAACTCCAAGAGCTCTGGTCTGATGGGAACACAGGAGAACATAGAGATACAAGTCACACTAGGTAAGGGCCAAGGTAGAGGTAAGTTTGGGAGGTGAGAACATGCAGGAGGCACCTGATCCTAGCTGGGGTGCTCTGGACTACATCGTAGATGGGGCACTCTTAAGCTGGGTTTTGAAGGGTAAGTAGGTGTTCTCTAGGAGAAAACTGAGGGCAAGAGAAGTATATCAAGGATTTTGCATCCTGGAGAAAGTGAGTGAACAATCTAATGCCTCCAGAAATTGTAAATGTGACTTTGGGCTTCTGGTTCTTTAATGGTAAAATGAGAATAACCTATTTCTAAAGCAGTTGTTTCCATCCTGGGAGTGCATTAGAATCATCTAGGAGCTTTAAAAATACCTATTTTCAGAACATTCCTCTAGATATTTTGAGTTAGTTGAGGCGGGATAAATCCTGGGTGAGGGTACTTTTAAGAACTTCTCTCCAGGGAATTTAATAAGTACTAGAGGTTGAGAATCCCACTCCAAAGCAAGTGATTCCCACCTGATGATTCCCAGGTCTTTTAAAGCATTCAGCCACCAGGTATCAAGATAGCTATAAAGCTACAGCATTAAGTTATTGGCACAGAGACAGACAAGTTGACCAATGGAATGGACTAGAGAATCCAAAAGAGCCACACAGGAAGTCACCTGATATGTGACAAGGGCATCGCTGCAATTCAAAGGAAAGGATGATCCTTTCAATGAGTGGTGAAAACAAAACAAAGCAAACAAACAAAAAACCGGTGGATGTCCATACAGGAAAAAAAATAAACAGTGACCATTTTACTCAACATACAAAAATTAATTTGAGAAGTCACAGACCTAAATGTGAAAGGTATTAGATTGAACTATATGAAACTATTGGTCTTTAATATTTTTCAACCTCAAAACCCACAAATATTGATATATTTTCTTCTAGAATTTGCATCAAATGATAGTAGAAGATCTTCGTGACCGTGAGATAGGCAGAAAGTATTAACCATTTTTAAAAAATGATAAATGGAAGTTCATTAACATTAAGAGCCTTATTCCTCTAAAAGTACCTAAGAGAGTACAAAGGCAAGTCACAGGCTTGGAGTGGTATGTGTAATGTCTGTGTCTGATAAAAGGCTCACGCCTGTTTTTAAGCACTTCTACAAATCAACTGAAAAAAGACAACAACGTAAAAACTAAGCAAAGACATGAACAAATAGATCACAAAAGAAGATATCCAAATGCCCAATAAGCATCTGAAAAGGTGCTCAACATCATTAATCATCAGAAATATGCAAAACAAAACTACAGGAAGAACTCACTACACACCCACTGGAATAGCTCAGATTAAAAAGACTGGCAACACCAAGACGTGGAGCAAGTGGAACTCTTACACTGCGGGTGGGTGTGCAAACCGACACCAATGTGTTGGTTGGAAAATTGCTTGGCAGGATCTATAAAAGGTAAACATACGCTTACCCTTTGACCCCTTCATTGTACCTCAGGGTATATGCCCAACAGAAATGAGTGCTTCTGGGTTTACAAAGATGTGTACTGCAATGTCCATAGCAGCTTTATGTAATAGACCTAAAGTGGAAACAACCACTTTTGGAGGCCGAGGCCGGCAGATCATGAAGTCAGGAGATCGAGATCATCCTGGCTAACACGGAGAAACCCTGTCTCTACTAAAAATACAAAAAATTAGCCAGGCATGGTGGTGGGCGCCACCTACTCCATCTACTTGGAGGTCTCAGGCAGGAGAACGAACCCAGGAAAAGGAATTTGCAGAGAGCCAAGATCGTGCCACTGCACTCCAGCCTGGGTGACAGAGCGAGACTCCATCTCAAAAAAAGAAAAAAAAAAAAAAAGAAAGAAAAAAAAGAAAAGAAAAGATGGCAAATATGGGTATACCATCTTTATGCAATGTGTTAAAACGCTACAGAATATGTAAAATTTGGAATCACAAATCGGAACACGTGTACAAGATCGAGAGCTAATGTTCTTAACAATGAAGAGTTCTTATATATCAATAAGTAACCACATGTGTTTCTCAATTAGCAAAAAGGTAAAAAATTGGGGTAAATATGCATTGACACATTGTGGGTGGGGCCAGCTTTGATTTTCCCCATCTTATTTTCTTTGTTTTTGTCTTTGCAGAACAGGGTACTTCCAGACACATATTAGTAGATACGGTTATTCATAGACATTATGTATTTTTCACACCAACTTTGTAAGTTTAGGTGCCGCTAGACCCATTTTTACACATGAGAAAACTGAGTTTCCTATAGCTGGACAGTTAGCAGATTCAGGACTCAAAAATCAGATCTTCTGGTTCTGAATCCCTTGTTCCATGGATAGCTTTCTGGTAGATGATAAATGAAAGCATGGCCACAGTATCTTGGCAGCCAGCATGGACCCATGGAACTCTTGGCAAGACTGGTAATTCATCCCTAGAGCTAGGCATGAGAAGGATGAAAAATGTCTATCTGAGTGATCACCTTGGCCCTTGGTTCTCTTCTCTAAGACAGAGAAACAGGCAGACAACACACACACACACACACACACACACACACACTCACCCTTGGACTAACCTCACCTCCCCAGTTCCTGCTTTCCCCTCAGGTCGGTCTTCCTTGGCCTTCCCCAGGTGTTGATGATCCCAGTCTCCTAGTCCTCTTTCCGTCCTGGTCCTGCAGCCTCCAGGTTCCAAGTGCGCTCCTCTAGGCTCCCCAGCCCCTCAAGCCTTGTCTACAAACTGGGTGGACTTCTGCCCAATGACCTGCTGAGCCTGCCTCTGCCACCTCCACCCCTTTCCCAGGATCAGCCTGGCTAATTGGCCCTGCCAAGTGTCTCACTCAGAGAGCAAAGCGTCTGGGAGTTCCCTTCCTCACCCCTTGGGAAACTCAGGCCTACTTTTTCTCTCCCATCCCAAATAGCAAGGGGCATTGTGTTTGGTACACCCAGGATGCTCTGTAGATTCACTGATGAGGGCCTGGCCTGCTAGGACCTGAGTGTTTGGCACCCAGTAAACCTCATAAAGGTGAGTGCACCAGAAACCAGAGTGACACACGCCATTCCCTCCCGGCTCCACAGCCCTGATCCCTGTGATCTTTGAGCAGAATCTTCCACCCCAGATTCCTTCCCTGGGGCAGGACAGAAATGGCTGTGGGCACCCTGGCACTGCTGTAGAATGCCAGCCACCTGGCATAGATGTTCACATGGCCCTGTCTCACCTCCCAGGTGCAGCCTGGGAGCAGGCAGCCTATCCATCCAACCCCACCCCACTCCCAAGCTCTGGGAAGTCTGAGGGCCTGGGCCTGTGGTCTGGGTACCAGACATAGGTGACCCATAATGCACCTGGTGGCTGGAGAAGCCATCCCTTCCTCTGGTTCTCAGTGTACCCACCTGTACAATGGGCAACAGGAGACTGCACTGGATCTGTGGTTGCCTGAGAAAGCCAAACTGTTGGAAGTCATGCTGTCAATCAATTTCACTTAAAATAATATAGACCCAAGTCTGTGCTAAATGTCATTCTAGCCAGATCTAGATGCTGGTAGAAGAGCAGAACAACAGAGGATGTTAAAAAAAAAAAAGAGCATTTGCTCAACATCACTAACCATCAGGGAAATGTAAATGAAAACCACAATAAGATTCCACCTTACTCCTGCAAGATGGCCATAATTAAAAAGTCAAAAATAAAAATAAAAATAAATGTTGGCGTGGATGTGGTGAAAAGGGAACACTTTTACACTGCTGATGGGAATGTAAATTACTTCAACCACTATGGAAAACAGTATGGAGATTCCTTAAAGAACTAAAAGTAGAGCTACCATTTGATCCAGCAATCCCACTACGGGGTATCCACCCAGAGGAAAAGAAGTCATTATATGAGAAAGATACATGCATGCCCATGTTTATAGCAGCACAATTCGTAATTCCGAAGATATGGAACCAACCTAAGTGCCCATCAAACAATGAGTCAATAAAGAAAATGTGGTATATATACACCATGGAATACTGCTCAGTCATAAAAAGGAATGAAATAATGTCCTTTGCAGCAATTTGGATGGAGGTAGAGGCCATTATTCTAACTAAAGTAACTCAGGAATGGAAAACCAAATATTGTATGTTCTTGCTTGTAAGTGGGAGCTAAGCTGTGAACACAGGTATAAGAATGATATAATGGACTTTGGGGACTCAGGGGAGAAGGTTGGGAGGGGGTGGTGAGGGATAAAAGACTACATATAGAGTACAGTGTACACTGCTCAGGTGATGGGTGCACTAAAACTCAGAAATCACCACTAAAGAACTTAACCCGTGTAACCAAAAACCACCTGTACCCCCAAAACTATTGAAATTTAAAAAGAGCATTTCAGAAAAATATTTATGGAAGGCAAATCGCAAACTGCAAAAACGTGCACAATTTAATGTTTTTCTGCACTTTCAGGTAGCCCACCAATTTGATTTCAGCAGTACGTGTACTTCTGTGCACACCTCATGTACACACACACACACACGCACATATATATACACATATATATATTTATATACACACACACACGTTTAATTCTTACAAGTCTGCGAGGGATCATTGCCTCACTATACAGATTAGAAAGCTGAGGTTTGGGATAGTGAGTCATCTGTCAAATGTCACATGGTTATTAAATGGATGTGCAGCTTCATAAGAAATTCTTAATATAAAAGCAGAAAAAAAAAATGTGGATACCACTAGTGGAGAAAATTTGGGAGAAACCAAGGAAATTCTGGGGCTGTCTGCATGCCCCCATATAAGGCTGTGGCTGTTAAATGCTGGCTCCTGGAATGGCTCACTCTAGTGTTTGTCGGGATGGTTCGTGCAGCCCAGAACAGGGGCCGACACCACCTTCAGTTTTCCATCTCTGAGTCATTCGACTTCTCCTTTGGAAGGTGTCCCACCCACCTCTCTCACCTGCCTTTCCCTCATCCTCCTTTCCTACTTCCTTCCAAAGAGGCAGAACTTGAGTTGAAAAGTGGATTGAGTGTCTATAATGTACCAGGCAGCAAGCCAGG